GAGACCGACCGACCCCCCCTTTTGTGTAATCGAGATGGCGTAGGCAATCACCGCCTCTGTGAATTCTGCGACTGCGAATAGATGATTTGAGGGTGAGCTGGGCAAATCCCGTTTTGCTTTGCCGTCTAGATGCAAGGTTGGCTGCTCAGGGCAGGAGAGAAACAAAAGTAGACCAAAGGCGTCGAGCTTCCAGGCGTCAAGCGTCGTGGTTGCATATCGCCAAGAAAGGTTGGAGGAGGAGAAGCCTTGGGAAGGAGGGTGCGCAGCCGGTGCGGCGGCTCCTTCTCCACTTTCTGATGCGGGAGGTGCGGTACGTACCGTGGGATGGCTGACCAATGACAGCCCCAGTCTACCGCAGCTTCCCATCTGGAAACAGTCCCGACAGGGGTTAGATGAGTAAAGGAAGGTGCACTGTGCTTTTCTTCTTTCCACTGTCACTCAGATGGCAGGTGCCGATACGCCTTTTCCTGCTTCCACAGCCAATCTTTTGCTTGAGAGGCAATTGGAGCCTTTTGTTACTTCTGTCTGAACAGTATATACTTTCATCAGAAGAGATGCTTTGTGGGAAGAACCCAATTGTATGTATCCATACGGTTGCATAGGTAGGTATTCTCAGGTAATAACATCAATGGTAAGGCGGTACGGATACTTACCAGAGGATTGATGTTGCATCAAAAGACGAGGCAACAGAATGAATGGCGCGATAGGGAACACTGCAAAAGTCAAAATCTTGACCGAGGTGCCCGTGCGCCATTCAAGGCGGGAAGGAAACGTCCAATAGTATTATCCGCACCTTTGTTTGGCCTTTTGCGTTGCCTGTCGACTGCGTGAGGGAATACCTTATATTCAGGCATAACTATTTGCTCAAGAAAAGTTGAAAGTGAAAAGTGAGGCGGAGAGTATCAGTCTACCTACCTTACGCCGTGCCGGTCTGACCATTCGGTGTGGGGAACTGGGATGCCAAGAGAGCACACCAATATAGATCCGTGATCCGTCCCTTCAGATTGTTATTGTTGTGTTATTGTGTGCAAGTAGATGATGATGACGATGGCGAAAAGGTTGACGGGTCCTGTAACGCAGGTGTCATGAGTTCAGGTAGGGACCCCAAATCTACAACTCTAGATGCCTTAAGCTACCACACTGAACCCTGCTACTTCTGCTTGCTCGATCGGGATCTGGGTGTCTTAGTCTTGGGTCGCCCATGCACGCAAGCCGCAGGCGGCAGCATACATAACTACTAGGGCATATTCAACAACAGGCCAGCATGCCATATGAGGCTTAACCAGTAAGGACGGTATGTGTGGCATCGATCGCATCGCGCATCCGCATTGTATAGAGCCGGCGGAGGAAAAGCGGATGAGACGTTTTTTCTCGGACTACGGACACGGTATATTCATACCTCTCCCTTCCCACCGGGTGCAGCACTTCTCACGCTGCTCTCCGGCCAGATAGATCGATCCTGAACTGCCCTGAATACGGTAGGTAGAGACGACATCCTCACTTCGACTGGACAAATGTTGTTGCGCATATCTCAAAGCCTAGCCATTTTTGCTTCCCAAACCCCTCCATTACACAGCAGCCGAGTGGCGGTCCGGGATGCACGGCTAAATGGTACCTATGGTAGAGGACCACAGCAAGAGACGGGATGAGACGGATGACGGGAGTCTAAGTCATTAAACTATTTTATCAACGCTACTGTTCGGATTCGGTCCTGAGCGGGCACGATTGGCAAACCCTGAGAGAGTATATCGGGGAGGGTAAATTCTTGAACAGTTTGTCTTGTCAAACTCTTACCCTATAGAGTTGAGGAGTCAAGAATCAATTTATCCTCAAACGGAGGAAGTCTGTATCTGCAATAGGTACCCGATCAGATGGGCGGACATGGAGGGAAGGGACTGAACCGTTGGTTGATCACGAGCGTGCCTACTGCAACGGTACATGATTTCGAGATTGACGGCAAGAGCTCTGGTTGAGGTGGGCTTTGGAAGAAAGGGCCTGCCTGGTTGGCACCTGCACCGGGGTGTTTCCTGCCGCCCGCCTGTCGTGCTTGCCTTCCCTTGGGCCCTTCCCTCCCCAACCCACATCTGCACGCTCGTCTGGTTCCAGAATCCCACTCGTCCTTGGACCATTTCTATTCGTCTGCGGGATCCGAATCTACGTACCTAGGTATCCGTAGCGGACGGAGTAAGGTACCTTATGGAGTACGTCCCACCTGTCTAAGGGCCCCAAGGGGGGAGAAATAAAATAACACAAGTTCGTGCCCCACCTCTGTTGGATGCATCAACAACCATGAACCATCAATCGTCAACCATCAACTATTAATTCTCGGGCCTCTCACAGCAATTTGCTGTCTGCGGACAGTCACCAGCCAGCCATCTATGTATGGATACTCGATTGCGCCTGCACCTGCACCTGGACATTGTTCCCATCGCACCACCTTCGACACATCGGATCAGCCCGACTAGCAACATTGTGATTGGTGCACCAGAGAATCACTGGACCTAGCTTCGACGCATCCGATCAACGAGTCCCCCGTGTCTCGACCCTCTCGGATTGTCCTTCTGGACGCAGGGCAGGGGCAGAGTGGCTTGTTGAACACAACGAGAGACATTTGCACCAGAGACGGACGGAGAAGACGAACGACTGCCACGTCCCCATCCAATCGACCACTGGCATTCCCAGTTTCCCGCACCTCTCCCAGACCTGAGACTGCCTCTTACGGACACCACACAGATCAATCCTGGGTCTGGACTTCTTCTCTACCCGCGAGCCGTCCCCACCGATCCATCCTGTCTTCCCGCTACGCCCTTCATCGCTGCATTCCCGGTACCTGACACACCCACACCCACATACGGATACACAACAGAGGTGCCCTCGGTGGCCTAAGCCGAATTCACTACGAGTTAGTATTGACCGAGTATCTGCTCACCAGCCGATTCCACTTACAACCTATTTTCCGACCATTTCCCGGATACCTCACGGATACTCTGTACTCTCTCTGCCAGCTCTTCAGCCACGCGCTTCTCTGGCCTAACTCGACTTGGCTGTCGGAATATCGCCTTTCATTACCTAGCATCTCAGCCACCTTGGCTCACAACCTTTTCAAGTTCAGAGTACGGAGTACCTTCTATGGTCCCCTACGGCTACTGTGTACTATAAACGACCTGATCTAACTGCCTGCGGCTGTCACTTTCACTCTATTCCTGCTCCAGTCGGGCCTACCACACTGCCTTGCGTTACGGGGAACCCTGGTTGCCTGCTTGCTTAGGTTGTCTGTTCTTCTCTGCCGACCCCGTGGACGGTGAGGCTGGCCCCTTCCTGCCATTGTAACGGACCACAAGACTCACCCGGCCGATAAAAGTCCGATTCGGCTCACCTTCTTCTTCTTTCAGAAGTCGATGCAATACCACCGCCGCCGCCATACCAGTCTAGTCCAGCCCAATTCGGCCCAGTCTGCCTGGTGGCTAGTTTCCCAGTCTCTCTGCAGTGTCTGCACGAATACCTACCTACACCATTGCGATAAGCTCGATATTCCTGACCCTCTCGGAGAGGGTTCGACCCAAGAAGGCGAGAAACGAATAAAGGACAAAGACAACTTCTCGAGACTGGCGAGGCTGGCCCAGATCCTTGTGTCTTGCAGAGTTTGGATAACTGCTCTTCACCCTCTTTCTCTCACTCCAGAGTAGTAGTACTGTACTGCGTAAGTCATCCAGCGGCCCTCCCGCCCCCTTTCGCGTTGTTTCCCCGGTCTTCTTGCCGTACCTTGGCCATGTTCTTGTCACGTACTCGGGACAAAGGACTTAGCCCTTGCTGTCATCTGCCGTGGCGCGTTCTTGTCCAGGTCAGTGTATGTGTGCAGTCTCAATTTCGATTGGAAAATCCCAGTCCATATCACCAGTCTTCCTGGGGCCTCATTGAGGTGCCGCTGTCAGTGTCGCTGTCTTGGGCGGCTCTGGTCCTCCTATGGAAGATTTGGCCTATTTTCCATGGTTCTGGAGGTGGTGCGGTCTGGCGCCATCTTGACATCTGCTCCCTCGCATCATGCTCCCGTCGCGCCCTCATTTCGTACTCTGTACACTTTTCTGCCCGGGAAGTAATTACCGTCGGCGTTTTTTTGCGGCCGAGCGCAATGTGTGAATATTCACCAGCCATCATTGACTGATGTGTCTACCTCTTCCTTCCTATGACCAATTCCATCTTTCCCCGCGGTATCGTACATGGCTTCTCTTGTCTTGAATTTGATAGTAGCAGAAGTCGTTGCACACATGATTTCCATCTACTCTGCGAATATGCAGGCTGCGGCAACTTCATCTGACCTTGACGCAAGGACTTAGCCTCCGGTACTTCCAACTAGTACGCAGTAAGGTAGGCCTCCCAGACGGCCAGCGCTTGGTAGTGGTAGGTACCCTCCCTCTTGCTTTGTACCTGCTTCAAGCTTGAGAGGGTCGACCGATTCACTGTCCCAGGACCCCACCAGACGGACGGTCGACCACTTTTCATTGTCCCTAGTAACCTGCACATACGAAATACCCCTGGCCACTGCCAGCCCCGAATCCTAGCTTGGTCCAGGTTCAGGCCCAAGGTTCCGCGGCGGCAGCAGCGCAGCGCAGCAGAGAAGACGTGCAGCGGTATCCGTACGGGCCATCAGCGACAATTGCGGGAGCTGTATCCATAGCGTAGGTGCGTGGGTACTCTGTACGGATAGGGAAATCAACAAGCAGGCTGGAGAAACAGAAAGAGAGAAAGAGAGAGAGAGTGTGTGCGTGAGAAAGAGAGAAACAAACACTTGAAGCCTGGAGAGAGAAAGAAAGCATCGGGAGAGGAAGAGGAAAAAAAAAAGAGAGGCAAAAGAGGAGGACCCACTTCACCTCGCTCTACATACACAGGTACTGCGCAGAGTCCAGGGTACCTCTGCTCCGTACCTTACGCAGTACCTTAAGGTACACGGCGACGGCCCCGTCCCTTGATCCTCCTCTCGCTCCCCTTCACCTCACTCACCATCTCAGTGTTTGCCCCCCTCCGTCCAGTCACCAGTCCCTTCTCGTCCTGTTCCCCGTCCAGTTCTCTCCTCTTTTTTTTCCCTCCCATCTCTTCCTCCGTCCACTGCCAGCCAGCCATCCCAATCCACTTAGCATTTTGTGGCATTGTGCTCCATACCTTGCCTCTCCTCTCCCGCACCCGCCCATCTCTCTCTCTCTCTCCCTCTCCTGTTCCTGTCCCTGTCCTGTTCCTGCTTGTTCCTGCTCTGGCTCTTGCTGCTCCTGCTCCGGCTCCTGTCCACCCGACTACTGGGTTTTCTGCATAAGACCTCCCCCCCAGTTGACAGTGGCCCCCTCCCACCGGTAGGTACCGCTAAACAGACCGACGAATCGCAGTCAAGGCAGGTACCTGCGCTTCCTCTCTAATAATTCAACCACCCCCCAGGCCGACCATCATTTCCTTTCCACCCTGCTGTTTTACTGGTCCGCGCAAAGCAACCCCCCCTGGAGCTTGCATTCCCCTTCCATCTGGAACTGGACAACCACCACACCTCTCTTTCCTCCCTCTCCACCGACTCCCGCTCAATTTCAATTCCAACCCTCAACCCTCATCCAACGACCGACGACCACCTCCTCCCGATCCGACCTCCTCGCCCGCTTCCACCACCACCACCATCACCACCCCCATCATCGCCGTTTCTATCGCTGCCGCCTCTTTTCATCAGCTGCCGCCTCTTTCGCTCCGCCACCCCATTGATCGAGGCCGAAACGACAGTCCACGACGATGAACTCTCAAGGCCAGAACGATGTGTCGCCCGAGGCGATGCAGGCGCGCATCCAACAGGCGCGACGCGAGGCTGAGACACTCAAGGACAGGATCAAGCGGAAGAAGGATGAGCTCGCCGATACTACTCGTGAGTTTTCCCATCGTCAATTCATCGTCGATTGCCATCGCCTCTCTCTCAATTGAATCCCCCGATCGCTCCTCGTCACGCTAACCACACATGTTCGACCAACAGTCCGCACTGTCGCCCAGCAGGCCCACGAGCCGATCCCAAAGAACCAGCTGATGAAGGCTAAGCGCACGCTCAAGGGTCACTTGGCCAAGATTTACGCCATGCATTGGTCTACCGATAGAAGACATCTTGTCTCCGCCTCGCAGGATGGAAAGCTCATCATTTGGGATGCCTACACGACGAACAAGGTCCACGCCATTCCCCTCAGATCATCCTGGGTCATGACCTGTGCCTACGCCCCCAGCGGCAACTACGTCGCTTGCGGTGGTCTCGACAATATTTGCTCCATTTACAACCTCAACCAGCAGAGAGAGGGTCCCACCCGCGTCGCGAGGGAGTTGTCTGGCCATGCCGGTTATCTTTCATGCTGTCGCTTCATCAACGACCGCAGCATCCTGACCTCTTCTGGTGACATGACATGTATGAAGTGGGATATCGAGACGGGCCAAAAGGTTATCGAGTTCGCCGACCACTTGGGCGATGTGATGAGCATCAGTCTCAACCCCACCAACTCCAACACATTCATCTCAGGTGCCTGCGACGCTTTCGCCAAGCTGTGGGATATCCGTGCCGGAAAGGCCGTCCAGACGTTTGCCGGCCACGAGTCCGACATCAACGCCATCCAATTCTTCCCCGACGGCCACTCCTTCGTCACCGGCTCCGATGACGCTACCTGCCGCCTCTTTGATATTCGTGCTGACCGCGAATTGAACCTTTACGGCGTAAGTGGGCTGGCGCGACCTTTGAGGGAAATCATTGGACCCCTGATTGCTAACTTGCTCTCTGATCCAGTCGGAATCTATTCTCTGCGGCATCACCTCCGTGGCGACCTCAGTCTCTGGACGCTTATTGTTTGCTGGCTATGACGACTTTGAATGCAAGGTATGTTGGGAATCTCGATAGCCTAATGGGGGCGAACTGATTACTAAACCCTTCTTGCAGGTCTGGGATGTGACTCGCGGAGAAAAGGTCGGCTCTCTCGTCGGCCACGAGAACAGAGTTAGCTGCTTGGGCGTTAGCAACGACGGCATCAGCTTGTGCACAGGATCATGGGATTCACTTGTATGCAAACACCTCCACCCAATATTCCTGGAATTCTCCATACTGACCGATGGCAACAGCTCAAAATCTGGGCATACTAAACCACCACCCCGACCCCGATAACGACGAAGTCCTGTCTGGATATACTGGTTCCAGTACGCGCGAAACCATTTTAATCTTCTGTCGAGTGGTTATTTGGCCAACTTAATTTTCGAAACCCTGGTGCTGCCCTTTTCTAATCCGCGAGTACTGGCACACACAGGACGAAGTCACGACATACCTGCTCATACCAAAGCTCACTTTTCTCATCGTCTACCACTCCAGCTGGAGCCGCCCTTCCGCAGGCATGGGCGGCTGTAGGAACTAAACAGGGCCCCCTTTTCTCTATTGTCACGCCAGCCACCACCAATCATCGTCATCGTCAAAACGATTCTTTTGCACCATAGTTCTCTTTTTTTTTGGGCCTCATTCTAGCACCTGGTTGTTAGATTAGGCGGTTTGTAACACACGGGTGGGTTTTCCACATGTGGCCTTTCCCGAGTCATGTCTGCTTCACATCTCCTGCAACGTCTGCCACCGGATCCGGATACGACAGGACCGCCAAGGAGGGAACGGAATCGAGGCATTTTGATACCCCAACGAAATCCAACCCTACAAACGCATAGACAAGCAAAGCGCGCGACTCCGACATCGACCAAACTCTCGCGCCTCGGGAGGGGAAAGTGCTGCAATTCGCAACAAGGAGTTTTCTATACCATCGAAAAGAGTTTTTCTGTCGTCGTCCGATAATCCCCTTGTCGCTTAGTTGTCCGTCGAGAAAAAACACGCGCCGCATCGTTCGATCCCGCATTTCCTTATTTCCTCGATTCCACCCGTGGGCGTCGGTTCGGTAGACGAAAGCACCGCATGTCGCCCCGCCATGTCGTCCGAGGCGACGCGAAGCCGAAGTATAGTAGAGACAAAAACGAATTGCCTCGTAGTAAGGCGGGAAGAAACAGGGCTAGTCGACCGGGAGGTCGGTTTGTTTTAGGCGGCGAGTTGTCATTTCCGTATACAAAGGGGGCGAGTTGATGTCGTGCGGCAACAGTGGTCGAACCCTAGTTTTCCCGGGAGGGTTGTGTTTATTTGGATGGCACGGGGGAGGGTTTGGGTTGAAGCCCAACGGGAAATCAGGGTGCGACAGAAGCCACCTACAGAACGAAGACATGTGTGCATGGGCGTGGGTGGAAGTGATGAAGATGTGTTTTTTCTTCCTTGCGTGGTCGCCTGCCTGAAGCCTTCCTTTCCTCCTATACCTACTTGTTGCCTGTACTATAGCTCGCGCTCAATGCTCGTTCATCCTCTGTTCAAGTGCCGATTGCCTTGGCAAGTGAGTAATATGCATGTCTTAACTATGCTAACCAGAATCTGCTGCCTCACACGATTTCAGTAGGCAAGTGGCTCCCTTTAACAGCATTAGACGAGGTTCACAGACGACAGCGAGATGGCCAAAGCGCAGTTACGAATGCGACGCGTCTGACTGTACTACTGACTGCAAGAAAGAACGAGGATTTCGAAGGGTTCAGCTTCATCCCAAGGGACGCTACGGCATCAAATCGACAGCGGCACGGTACACGGAATAGGAGCCTTGGCTTTGATCACGGTCAAGTAGGCAAACGAATGACGAATGACGGGTGGAGGACGTTGGTTGGAGATGTTAACTTTTTCCATGAGTATAAAGAACATGGGACGGATTCCGAACCAGTTCCTCGGAAGTTCCGACGTTGAAGAGCTCGCTCGCCTGGAAGATGACGTTGTGGGAGAGCGCCTCCATATGATTTCTTCGATGTGTCGAAAGCTGAGGCTTTGGGAATTCGTTGGGCGGCGAAGACGGGAGAGACGGAAAAGGGGGGGATGCGATTGGAGGTCTTGAAGCAGCGCAGATGCGGCGTGGGTCTGTCTGTCATGGAAGAGGGGGACAGGAGGGCCCCGAGAGAAGGAACGATTCGGATCAACAAAGCTAGTGGTGAGTTGTGTCTCTGGGGAACGCAAAGGCCGAATACTTACCGTACGGTTCTCCTCGGAGCATCCGGAGAGATCATGAGAAGAGGCCGGCGGCGTGACCCATCGAAGCGGCGGAAGTGGAGAACGGGGATCCAGAAATCTCGGCGACACGCGGTTCCGGCGCGGTGGGGCCATCTCGGAAGCTGATGAAAGGCTGAAGGACACTGGCCCTTTGCGCAGTAGGCAAGTAAGGAAGACTGCATATGGAAGCCACTTGGCAGCATAACCAGTAGAATTACTGAACCTTTCCCCTCCTGATACAATGATTTTGAGTTATCCGGATGGAGGGGAAGGATAGAAGGAGGGGGGACGGACCACGGCGTGAGGTTCGTCTGTTGATGGCCATCCCCTCCCCCCATTTCGTTGCCACGTGAAGGACAGGCCACTCGGAGTTTGGCTCTGCCGTTTGGCGTACTGTCGTACGGTTCGATTACCCAATCACTCGCTGATTTTGCCTAGCTTTTCAGTTAGCGAATGGGGTAGCAAGATGCAAGAGGCTCTCAGATGAGACGACGGGATTGCCCGAGTCAGCTTCCCGCGTTGGAATGGTGCCTTTTTAAACGTGAGCGGGCGTTCTTGTCTGGCGGTATTGGGGAAATGCGGTAGTTCGTTAGATGGTGAAGGACGACGGGAACCGTTGCTGATTTCTCCTGTTCTCGTGGGGGGGAAAGAAGCCTGCGAGCTGCCTTCTATGCATGTGGCGTTCATTGCAGGAGCTTCGAGAAGCACTTGCAATGGGCTTTGAAAACTTCGGAATTGAGATCATTTCCAGCACAGACGATGAGGATCGCAGGAGAAACGCTCAGACTAAAGAAGCATGCGGTGGGAAATATACCACCTCGATGGGTTGCATATGTCCGGCCGCGGGTGTTGAAGATCGTTCAGGCCACAATCTGTAGCGGCTCCCGGCTACTGCAAAAGGAGTTAGCAAAAGAGAAGCTAGGGACGGGCCCGGGGAAGGGAGGAAGAGAAGGGCGAGCAAGAAGAATTTGGTGGCTGAGGCCCTATGTTTGAGTTATACTTGGAAATCTCGATGCGCTTGCGGATGCAAAGATCCTGGTAGCCACGACGTATGCGTAGATTAGAGCACTTCGATGCCTACCGTGTATCCGTAGTGTGTATCGAGTAGCCACCGTCGAACCGCACTGGTGTTTTGGATGATACTTTTCTGTGCCTCGGTCGATCTTCATTAAAGCCGGTGGGATGCATGCTGCATGAGCCGAGGAGGAGGAGGCAACGTGTTTGACAGAACTGTACGTGTCGCCGGCAGAGCCTGATACAGTCAACGCTCATCCCTCGAGTTTTCCGCCCTTCTCGTGATCAGAGCATATGCAAATGTCAGGTCACTGTGATCGGATAACGACTAGAGCATGTGCAGCGGCATTGTGCCGGCAGTGTGCAGCTGTCGGTGTGGCGAGGCGCAGAAGCCAAGTTGGGAGTCTGAGGGTTATTGAGAAATGCACGAGTAAACGAACCGGTTGCAAGACGCTTCGCTTGATGGATCGACAACATGAGTATCGCATAACTTGTTGTGAGAACGCCCAGCTTCGATGCCGCACTGCCAGCAATGTTTGTTTGTGGCAACGAACTGAAATGGACGAGACCAGCCCTGGACAAGGAATCTCCTTGGCTACAAGTCCAGGATGTTTTAGCTGTTGAACACAAGTGTATTCTGTGAAACAAACGCATGAAACCCGCGGGTATATCCAAAAGGAATATGCATCTCGTTGGAATGCACATAGCCCCTGTCGGGTCTTGTGACGAGTGAAATCGCTTTCGGGGATTGTTTTGAATAGATTTCCGCTAGGATCTACTGCTAACGGTGAATGGTACGCTAAAAAGTTTGACTTGCGGAGTGAGCTGCCATCGCTGAGTCGTGTTCCGAGGTGGTTGAATGGAGTCTTGGTCCCTTGGAGATAGAATCGGATGATAAGTCAGCAACGCACGAGCAGCATCGGGAGCCGTGGTTCTGGGTCGACCACGCGCGACATCGTGTCCACAAAATGTCTGTCGTGAGGCATGAAACGGCGTATCCGGGGCGGAGAAGGTGACTCATGTTTGAACACATCGTAAGTCCTCTTCATGCGAATCTGGAGAGCCATGCCATGCGTGGCATGAAGACCCATAGTTGATACTTGAGACTGAATGTTGCCAGCTGCGGATTAGTCAACGATCATGACAACTTGAGTTGGCATGTCGTTGGTAATGGTAGTGCTATGAACCGAACGTCCTAGGAGCATAGCAAAGTATACAGAGGACGCCGTCCATGACCATCCAAGGCCATGGATGATGGCTAGACCGTACGCTCAAGTCGAGATGAATCGGCCAATGTGCCGATCCGAGTGGAGTGAGAGACCTGTCATCGAGAAGTCGATAATCATGTGCAGTGGACAAAAAAGTCCGCTCGTCTCAAGCCTCCATCCGCATTGACTGGGGAGCACCGACAAGTGCGGTCACACGACGCCGTGGCCAAGTCTCGACCAAAGATCTAAGCAGACCAGGGAACGAAGGCAAACGGGGACTTTCGGACGATCAAACTGGGCAAAATATGACGATAAGCGCATGTCATTGTTAGAGATCTCTGGAGCTGATGGCGAGACTGCTGTGCCCTGTTTCGGGGTCCTCATATTTTGGCAAAGGGGATGATGAAGGGTGAACAATGTCATCGCATAGTGGGATGATGGCGTCGTGATCTGTTACGGGGTCAATTAGGCATCTGCCTCGGCGAAGTGGTTTCTGATCGTCTCAGGCAGTCCATGTTTGCTTGAGGCGCCAAAGGAGATGTGCGTGTATCAATGCCCTCCCATCCGGAAGCTTGTTGAGGATCATGGTGTAACTATTAGGCAATCAATGGAGTGGCCTAGTCTGGCAAGGTCTTCTGCTGAGACTATCCGCGTATCTCTCTCAGCGACGCGCCGCGAACTGCCATTGTCTCTTTGACTGATAAGCCTGGGCTCAGTCTTTGACGGCGGGTCTGCGATTCGGCTGGACCGACGACGGATAGAGTCGGTGTCTTGGAGCCGCGGTGAAGAAGTTGGGCGTGAGACATTGTGCCTGGAATCTGAAGACGCACCTGATGCGAGACACTCGCGAATAGGCACCAGAGCAAGGAACGTCGTGCCCTGCGGTATCAATCTCATTCTCTACCACCAAATAATTGCCAGTTGCAGCACCATCTCCGATGCAGGGTCCTCCCGCACTGGCCGGTAAGGCGCAACGACTCGTACTAGCCGGAATGAGACATAATGTCTGAGGCAGGAGGGTTAGAAATGCGAGCACAGGCGTAGTTGCAAATTGAAGCGCCTTGAGTAAGGTGGAGAGAGGAAAGCGAAAGAGACTGTTCAGAGGACCCTGAAGAAGCGGAAGCGGGTGGCCAATGGCTCCTAAGTTGAGGCAACCTTCTGGAGGGCTTGTAAGATGATCTGCGAGGTGGTACGAGGTCCTCGCCATTTCGAGAACACTGGAAAGAAGTCAATTGCGAAGCGTCTTCCCAATCACGGCTGGCACGTAGCGTGCGGTGAGCCAATTTGGGGCCAAGCAGTCAACCCACAGACGGCCCAACGCGAGATATACGAGACATAACAGGTAGCCGTGTTTGTTTTCTTCATCGCGATCGCCAACTTTGGAAGTCTTGGCGTGGCTTCGGCGCCTTTTCCAAGTTCCTCGCGACCGGCCCGTCTATTGCTCGAGAGTCGGAGCAAAAGGTCAACTGCGTGATGTCTCCAACGGGCCGGCGGGGGGCGGGTATAATTCACAGCAATAACAGATAAAGAAAGAATATAGTAGAAAGCGGCTCAGCCAACTCATCGACGTGCAGCGTGCATCCTATCTGCAAGGTCCCGAATTGTCCCCCACCTCTCGTAGTGGTTTGCATTGATTGGACAGGCGTGGAGTGACGACGTTGCGAAAAGGAGAGGAAATGTGCAGAGATGGAGTGGATGGGTCGAATGATGCTGACAAGCACCATGATCCCAGCAAAGCCACGCGGGCAGAGGAAAAGCAAGATGGTGTGGTGCTGCGCTGGAGAACGGATGTTGCGGTTCTGTTCTTGACCCTTTCTCTCTCTGCCCCGTAATAGTGCTGTGTACTCGATCCGGCCCCTTTTCGACGGTAATAGGTCCGTACCTTGGGGTAAGGTAAGCAAGGTAGTCTGGATGACGGTTAGTTTGAGACGGCGGAACTAAGGAATGTTTTTTCTTTTCTTTTCTTTTATTTTGGGCTGCAGCTTACTGAAGGTTTGCGCGTTGACCGTTGGTTTGTGAAAAGGGAAATGGAGGTAATTTGCCCAATTTTCCATTCTAGACTACCCTAACTTTATTTTCCAATGGAAGGAATATGCAGACGCCAGACAGACAGGAAGAGTCGCAGCTGCAGTTGCATTTGAATCAGGTACTTGCATTTATTTTCAATTACGGAGTACCTTAAGGTAAGGTAGGTTGCATTCGTACCTTCCATGTGTGCTTGGTTCTCTTTCACAGCCGCCTCCCTTCTTTCCTTGCCCTGCCTGCCCTGCCTGCCATGCACAGGCAATTGGTGACTGACTGGCACCTTCCTCCATACAATTTACTGCGTTACGAAGTACTCCTGCCGCCTGCGTAGGTACTATGTATAATATGTACACACAGTCTCCACTTTTACTTTCTGCCCCCTTCCCTCCACGTCGCCGGTATCCTCATGCGTGACGACACCATCGTGGCTGGCCTCTCTGTTCCGTCATCTGCACGTCCCAGTTCGGCATTCGTGTCCTTGCAAAAAAGTTGACTCGCCCACAATCATCGACATCGGAAATCGGGGACTGGACGGGGGTGGGCAGCTCAATCAAGCACAAGTTACAGGGCTGGAAAGAAATTGTCCGGTCTTGCCGTGCCAGCGTTCCAGCATCTTTGCGCCCGCAAACGATCATCAACTCCCGCATCCTCGTCTTAACATCGCGGACTACATGCCTCTTACCGCAACCAGATCTCACCTGGACCCGTCACTAAACCCCCTATACCCCCGAACAAGTTAATAACCCACGAATGCCAGTAGCCAAAGGCCTTACCTTCTGCCATTCATCCACACTTTGCCGTCCAGTCTCCCCTGTTCGCAACCACGCGCCTCCGCCGCTTCTGAAACAGCCTGACGCACCCCAGGGGCTTCCACCTCGACCCTCGATCCTCGACCCTCGAGCCCCCCCTTTTGCCCTTTTGCGCACATCTCGCACCACTCACGCATCGCGCCAGTCTGTTGACTCTTGACTATCCACTACTCCGTACACCACTGGGGCCCGGCTTTCACCGCATCGTGGTCCACGCAAGGGTTGGCCCCTGGCTGCGACTCCACTGCTTCGAGAAAATCCCATCGAAGGGCCTCCATCCTTTCCATCCAACTCCCAGTCGTCTCTGCTTCGCCTCCCACCCTCCGCCCGTCCTCTCCTCTCCAGACTCTCCCACCACCATTTGCGCTACCCATCCTGTCCTTGTCCGAACAAGTCACTTTGCTTGCTCGACTACCAAGTAGACGCCCTGACAGAACAACCGGGCACACCCTTCCAAGCTCAACGTCGCACGATTGCCAACTCTTCACAACCTGCTTGTTTACTCCGTCTTAACAACACCCCGGACGGCAACCTCCTCCTCCTCTGACCACACGCCCACCCGCTCCTCCGTTCCTTGTCCTATACATAAACCAAGCTTCCCTCCCCCGGCCGCGCCACCTCGACTTCCAAGATGTCGAACCCTACGCCAGCCCAGGAAGAATTCAATGCTCTGCTAGCAGCAAACTCCCGTGACACCAACAAAGTACATCCCGAAGACCGAGACCACGACCGTCGCGAACAAGACAGCCTCGATCTCGACGAGGAAGAGAGATATCGCAACTCCCAAATCGACGCCGCTATGCGTATGCCATCTCTTGGTCAGACCGGCTCCGACCTGAAGCTGCCCCCAGCTAGCTTCGATGCCGGTCGTACCACTGGTGTCAAGGGCGTCATCGCCGATGCTCGCAACTACGAGAACGCTCGCAAGACTTCTTTCATGAGCCGCGCGCGCACCACAGTGAGGCGCTCCATTTTCGGCCTCGACAACATCAACTCCCAGCCGCCACCGTCAAACAAGAGCGAAAGCGAGACGGATGAGGGCAACGGCAGCGACTCTGACGACAGCTTCATGCAGCAATGGCGCGAGAGCCGCCGAAGAGAACTCGAGAGCGACTCCAACAAGGTTATCCGGAACCGGAGAACAAGTCCTAGTGTGCGAATCTACGGACGTCTGGATGAGGTTGATGCCTTGGGCTACCTCGATGCCATTGAGAAGGTTGCGCGGGACACTGTCGTTGTCGTCTTCGTCTATGACCCAGAGGTGAGCTCCATCGAGACTATGACTTCCCAGGTTCTGAATCCTAACGAGACTTCTAGTGTGACGTTTCTGCGACAATAGAGCATGCCATGATGCCTCTTGTATCGCAGCACTCAACAATACACTTTGTCAAGGTACACTATCTTGACATTGAGTTCGACAACGCCGCTGTGCCTGCGATTTTGGCGTACCGCAACCAGGGTGACATGATCGCCAACCTCACAGGCATCATTGAAATGATCCCCGACGACGAAATGTTTGGTACCGACACACTGGCACGGCTCTTCCAGAAGCACGACATTCTATGATGCAAATACGGTCACGAACAGCACTCAACATGCGCAAAAAACAACCTCATCTCCTCTGTTACGATACCCCCATTTTGCAGCGCGTTCTCTTCCGCGAGCATAACGGTTCCCTTTTTTCTACAACATTTTCATTGCGCATTCGGTTCTCCTATCTCACCTGGACTTTTGGGTTGTGGAGCGGAGTTTTCTCTGGGATATTCTCGTCACTTTGGGGAAAGACGTTGATACACCATTGGTCTTTTCTTTGGGGGTTTCTTGTTTCTGTAATGATGTGGGGAGATTCATGCCCGAGATGTCGGTTACTACGCGAGAAACGTACCGGCTGCGGGGTTGGGAAGATGAAGATGCAATATCATGCAGCAATGCCATTTAAGGATTGTAGGCTGCGTTCCCAACTTTTACCAATTCCCTGTAGAATTCACAAGATCACGTGGACTCTGTTCAACGATTTCACACAAAGGATTGGATGTACTGCTCATAATTGCATTGATGTCGGTAAATGAGAGGTTACATTGCATATACGTCGTTTTAAGGGTTGCGAATGCCTTACCCCTAGATACACGCAGCCCCCCTCGACACCAAACCGTCAACGAAGGGAACGAAATCAATGATAACAGCCTCCTAGGGCTGGAGGAGGGGGTGACAAGTACAAGGACAAGGCCCTCGGTGGATTTTCTGCTTCGGGACTTTGCGAGATTTCGAGGCAGATTGCGGGAGGATTTGGACCCAATACCGGATACGGATTACAGACATGGGTCCAAATAGAAGGTTCTAAGATTTGGTCAGCAAAGAAATCAAAAATTGCAGCCTTTTGTTTTTCTCTCGCTTCTGCGGTATCCGTCGTCTGTGTGTCTTGAGTGATCTCCAGCAAAAAGCAGGGGGCAAAGGCAAGAAAGAACTGGAGTGAGACTGCAATTTGTTACTAATCCTGGAGTTACAACAGGAATAGCAATAGATTCTCGGTTCTCTCAAGTCTCAGTTCTCTGCCCCCTTCTTGTGCCGTCTCCTCCCGCCGATGGTTGACGTCCACCCCTGTCGTCCAGCTCCGTTGTTTCATAGGAACCAGAAACCATTGAGCCCGGGGAACGAAAATTCCGGCAACGTGTTCCGGCCCGGGGAAAGGGGTGGGCTGGAGCTGGGGTTGTTGGAGTGGCTGGATTGCCGTTCCGAGAGAGCCCTGTTTGCTCTGTTTTTTTGCTTCAGGTGAAGAAGTATTTTCGGGTTGTACAAGTTTCGAGTTCAAAATTGCTTGCTTTCTCTTTGCTTTTCTATGTGGTGGTTTTTTCCCAGCTTTGCAGGCGCAAAAGATCGACCTTAACAGGATCAGGCTCTCAAGGGAAATCACACGATACGGTACACTTTTTAACTACATAATACGCGTAATATGCCCCAAGCACGCGCTCAACGCAATATAGTGATTTCGATACGAAAACCGCCATTCAATTCGGGATGGGCAAGCTGCCCTCTTTGCTTTTCTATACATCTTGCCTTTTGACTGTTTTCGCGTCTGCGAAGTATCGGGCAATCATCGCATGCCTACTGTGCATCGGAGGTTATGCATAAATCCCCCTTGGGTAGCTGGCCGGCGTGAGACTGGCTTTCTTGAGGTGATTTGATGCGATTTTTGACAGGCGCTGAAGTGTCGTCGAGTTAGGTATTTGCAACGTCACGTCTGCGTTTTGTCTAACGCGGACCCCGGAATGGCATTCTTGAAAAGCCACGCCATTTGGGTAGGAGATAGCGTAAAGCCTCTGGTACAGCAATCTCCAAGCCAGGGCTCTCCCAAGTCCATCGACTTGAGAAGGAGCGCAGTGTCCATTCTTCAATGCTCGGTGCAGGTGTTGGTGTGCCGGCGAAGGACAGGCTTGAGTGATGCAATGATTGCAAGTTTGTTAGTTAACGATGGGGGTCCGAATGTCGACGAGAGACGCTGCAATACTGAGCCGTCATAACAAGGGCTGAAGTGTGTCAAACTGTAAGAGAAGTGGATTGAGAGAGGTTTCTCTGAGAAAGGTCTGTCTCTACGATACGGTGTTGGTCAAAATGACGATGAAGTCGAAATCACATGAACTTTGCCGTTGTCAATGGACATTGCCCTACTGATTGCCAACTTCAGCAAGTTGCCTAACCTCGAACGCATCTTGAGTACCAATTATGTTATTTTTCGAGGGATAGATTTCATAAAGAGAGATTCTCTTGTATTATCGCATGAAAATTTTCCGGCGATATCTTGGTTGTTCGTGAATATGGAAGAGGTGTCAGACTCCAGCCGAGGTGAGCTGAGAATGAAAGTTGCACCGCCACTTGACAGTCCCCCAAGGTACGCATGAGCCACAATACAATGGAATTGAAGCCACACACCCTTTTCTTCGGCTAAGACATGGGATTCTCAGAGACAGGAAAGACGGCAAAAAAGGTGAAACATTCGGAAGACATGCGGGCCTCACACAACCCAGGGTCGAAATTGTAGCTTTCCTCCCCTTTGCCGAGCCATGGCTGGATACTTGCGCAATCTTTTGTGAAATCTGTGGTGAGGCGTCATGGTTGTAGTACGTGGCGAACCTGTTGGTCTTTTTCCTGTGCCGCAAGCGGGCCGGAGTCACTTGAGCTTTCCACATTGGACGACTTGGATATTTAGGTTGGTACCTTGCTTCAGCCTGTGCGAGGGGGCGATGAGTACCTTAGTTCACCTCTAGACTTTGCGCCTGAAGCGGCAGCCTGGAAGATGTACTTGCAGCATGTAGGAAGTGATCCCGCCATGGGTCTTGAAGATACGTAACGAGTGAATATGCCCGGCGAGAGAGAAGGATGAAGAAGTTCGGCCCAAGTGAAGCCCAAAAGGAACCCGATCCATGTTGAAAAGGAAGCTAAGAGGTGATGTTGGGAGTGAGCGGATCTTCCTCCGTCGAGATGCCACCCGAGGCCCGTAGGGGTTGGAGCTAACCCAAGGCTGTTGGCACCAACAGCGGTTCACAGGCGGGGTGATAGTGGGCTAGTGGATAAGGAACCCCACCATGGCAGGTCGCAGCGGTTGCGCGGTGCGTGGTGCAAGTTGCAGCTGGCACCGATTTCCCCCGGCTTGTTATCGATAAGAGGTACAATGATGCGGATCTGCCTGTGACGAGCTGCAATCAAAGTGGGCGGGGGGCAGTTGCCAGTGACATTCCATTTGAACGCGAGGTATCCAGGCCCCGGAGCGAGTGACGCATACTCGGCTTTACAAATGCCAGATGTGGCCCTTCAAGGTGAAATGAACGCCATTTGTTGCGCCTTTACTCGGTCGCGAAATGGACCCCGCCCCCACCTCCAAAGAGCACATGAGATGCGTCTGGCCGACGGCTGTTAAGATGATATGGCTGTCAGGGTACTTTGCACGAGTACCTACCTACCTACCTTACCTACCTTAGTAAATAGGTAAGGTACCTTAGGTATGGAACTGTGCACTTATCTCAGCTTTGGCGCTTGACAGTTCTTGCTATTTTGTGCTATTCTGACTTGGTGCCACCTGCCCGCTCCAAAACTGCGGACGGTGAGGCAGGATATGAGGTCCGGTAAAGGAAGGAAGGAAGGCAGAAAGGTACCTTCCTGGACCGCCCGGTCGTGTCTCGACTGCCGTCCCGTTGCCTTTTCAGCTGCCTTTCTGCCTTTTGATGGTGCGCCCGGCCTGAATGTCTCTCTCCTCTCCGCACCACCCACCGCCCTTGAGGTGCATCCATCCATCCCGATACAAACTGTCGGTATTCCTCCACCACATCTCTCCTTCCTTCACTTCCCATCGTCTTCTGTTCTGTCTTCTTCACAGGGCACTCAACTTCCCTTCCGGAACGACCAACACCGGAACGAAACCACCAAATCCAAACCCTGGCCCGCTGACGCTTTGACGGCTAGGACCAAACGTGAGCAACGCCATCAGGTTAGCAGACTGTACCTTGTTCCTTATCTTTGTCGCAACTTCTCGATAGCGGCAGCCGCGTGACATCCCCAAGTCATACCTAAGGTAAGGTAGTCACCTCCGATAAACCGACCGCCTTCTCGTCCCATCTCATCCTATCCCTTCCAGTCCCTTGCCATTTCCCCACCCCGCGTTGGCCATTTGGTTCCGCAAGGCAATACCAGCTGGCAAGCACGCAGCAGCGAGCACCTTCTCGGTAAGCTGGGCAAGGCAGGCCAGGCAGACAGGCAGGTACACCGTACAGGCAACACCTGCCGCCGACCGACCTTGACGACGCACCCTACCTACCTTTACCTGAGTACCCCCATCTACCTTAGGTTGCTTCACCTCCCGTCACAATCCTCCTACACATCCAAAAGGCCCGTCCAGAGTTAGTTGAATCTCTTTTTCTCTCTCTACATCCCCGAATCGCCTTTGCTACCTAGATGTTCAATTTCTTGGATCAGGTCGTTTGTCCCGAAGAAAAAGCAACCCCTCTACGCCCCTCAACCGTCGTCCGTTGTGTCAGCTCACGAGCGTGACCTGCTTCATATCCCGCTTTACCCCTCCATCCTCCCACCACCGCCACAACCATCACACAACCACTCCGTTCATTCCTTTCACCACATACAGCCGCCGACTGTCGAGCATATCCCATTCCTTCCAGCTTCCAGACTTCCCGAGGCATGACGGGATAACACAAAAGGCTAACCCTTGTTATCTCGGTATGGAAGAGCAGCACAGCGCCGATTCTACCACGGACGTCGACACATCTACCCACAGCCCGGCAGCATCGACAACCCTGTCATCTTCTGAGCTGACTTTGAGGTTCCCCCGACCACAAGGAAACCGACAACTGGCTAGCTGGATTTCCTCCAGCGAACCCGACATCATGACTCCCTCAGAAGCACCCGAAGATGTCGCTGCACTGTCCGAGAGCACATACGAATTTATCAACACTGACGACGAGAGCCAGGATGGCCGTGGCACCGAAGCTGAGTCGTTGAGCTCTTTTGATTATGCCCGCCCCGACGACGTCCACAGCCTCGCTGGCACTGAACATACAGAGGACATGACCAACCAGTCCGATACGGACTCGCAAGACTCAGAGGACGCCGCGCAAGACAGGTCTCGAGCCTCATCTATTCAATACGCTGAGCAGAGCCTCCTCAATCCGTCCTCCCGCGTCCCGACGCCGCCCTTGGGCGTCGACAGCTCCATGGACATCAGCCAGCAAACCCCGCTGGTCCAGTCCATCGAGTTTGACGAGACGCAAGACCCAGTCTACTTCAAGCAGGTGTCAGTCAAACATACAATTCACACCTTTGCCGAGGAGCAGTCGACCTCCATCGCCAAGACACTTCACTTCCCAGACCAGAACAAGCGTCTCATCGCAGCAGTCCGTCAAACAATGGCGCCACACTGTCTAGCGACAAAGGAGCCTCTTCGGATCATGTACACGGGCAGCCATGCAGCTAGGCATGATATCATATACAAAATTTCCTCGGCCTTCACAGCATCTGCATCCGCGGATGGATGCGGCATCAGCGAAGATGCTGGCATTTACAACGTTGTGCCTATATCATCTCTTGGATCTCCCAAGGTCCCCGAAGTTGAGTTGATGAAGACTTCACAATACCAAATCAAGGTCGAAAATTGCACGGCAGCGAAGGAGGTTGTCTACCAAGGCGAACGTTTCCTGGGTGAGACTGTCTATCACATCACTGTGGACGGTGATCGGAATTTCCAGTCTGCTTTTGCGCCCAGTGGATCTATCATTGAGCCTTCATGGACGCTACCCCATGTCGCCATCTTCTACATTACGGAGAATGACGATGAGGCTGCTAGAAGCACCCGGAATGCTGCATGGAACTTCATGCAAAGACACGCCGTGCCTAGCGTCTTCATTTCAAACGACGAGGTCCACCATCAACCTAATGCGATATGGGATGACATGATCAGCCAGCACGCTATCCACATCTGCGTGGAGTCTTCTGACCGGGCCATGCCTTCTATCAAGCTCCCAATCGACCTGACCTCATTCCTCAACATCGATGCTCGCCAGATGAATCGAAACCTGGCCTACCTTACCGGCCTTTACGATCACGCAGACTGGAGGAAGAGCAAGTGTGACTCTAACACCATGAGCAAGACTGTTCATCGTGCTTGGCGCCGCGCTGTCGAGATCGTGGAAGATATCGACCTATGGGTCGTGGGCCAGACCACGTTTCTGGTCCTCAGCGTCATCGCCACAGCACTGCTCTCCAACTACTTCTTGGCAGGAGTTTCAAACACACCAGCACTTTCCACAGTCTCTTCTACCACAGCTAGTACACTGTCACCCTTGACCTCGACAGTACTGTCGACTTCGACTTCGACAATCAACCTATCCACCACAACGATTCGGGTGGCTCAAAAAGCGTCGGCAACTAGCAACACGGCTGTTGCACCGTTCGCAGAGCTTGCCGACTTCATTGCAGACAAATTTCCTGACAAAGCCTACGTATGCTCGGCGGAGAAGGTCAGCCGCAATGAGATTCTGATCAAAATCCCCTCTGGCACGAAAACATCATGGCTTGCCAAAGATTCGATCACTATCGATGTCCTCAAGGGCGAGAGGTCTATTAAGACCAGATTCTCTTCGACCGACGAGGGAATCTTGATTGAAATCCCAAAGTCGGAAGCGCATGGCATCCTCACTATTGCGGTCAATACAACTCGAAAGCCCAAGGTCAATGAGACCTTTGTGGTCGACCTTGGAAAGACCGTCCTCGAGCGTTGTCTTGGATATGGCAAGGCGGTGGCTTCCCATGTCCTTGATACAGCAAACAGTGTCGCACATCAGGCAGAGGAGCGAGCCTTCGACCTCTCAAGCCTCAACTTCCTGAGCTTGGACACTATCGTAGCGGATGCCAGAGGGTTGTCTACCCGCATCACCGCGAGGGCTGCAAACGCTGCGAATGCCATCGTCAAGGGATCTGCAGAGCTATCTGAGAACCTGCAGAGCCTGAGAAATCCGCAGCGATTGCAAGAGTTTAGAGACCGAGCGAACATTGTGTTCACGAAGGCCCAGCTCCAATCTCGGCTCCTGGCGTTGAAGGTCTTGCAAAAGACGGAAGAGCATAAGGTCTACTTGGACAAGGCCAAGAAGCACATGGAAAAACTGCGGTTGACAGCGACGGAGGCCCACAACCAACGTCTGGATAAGGAGAAGAAGGAGATGCGAGCTCGTCGGAAGAGAGAGCGCCTGGCGGCTAGATGTCAAACAGGCTCCGGCTTTTCTAGATGGACGCAGCAGTGCCGACAGCAAGGATGAGTCTGATTTTACACGCAAGTATGGAGATACCTTGGAGGCCAGTTAGGGACAAGGACTGGAAGGAACTGGAGTTATCGGTATGGGTTCTGTAATGGCTGTCTCAACTTTTTTTGCTTCATTCGCCCTTCAATGTTTAGTTATTCACACCGCTCTCCCCACTCTTCCCACATATTGTTCGCAGTTGCGACGGCGACGTGAGGCAGGTCAGGGAAAGCTCCGCCGCGTTCCCGAGTATCTAGTCGCTTTGAGGCGGCTACAGTATTTATGAATGGATGGACAGCAATGATAGACTACGAGCAGGCTTCTGCAATGATAGACTACGAGCAGGCTTCTGCAATGATTCTTCGAGCAGTCTCGTAAACTTCCTACCTTACATCTGCAAGTTGTGCCTGGAGATGCCGTGTGCTTGTATCCGTCGTCCAAACTTGGTCCCAAGTTGAATAGTTTCTGGAAAAGTTTCTTCCTACCTGACTGACTGACACAAGCCCGACGGTCTGAGAGCTCACAACAGGGTCTTATAATGGTGAAATCAGTCCGGTCATAGTTCGGGCTTGCGAGCAAACAAGTCGCTGTTAATCATCTAGTAAGATTATTCCGTTCAATAGTGCGGATAGGGCCGGGCGATGACCAAGATAGCGTCAAAATCCTCATCCCCAAATCAGGGACTCCCGGTCCCCAGTGGCAAAGGCAGCAGGCTTGGTGATTGGCTGCGCGAATCCAGCTTGGGCTTTGGCTTAGGTGCATCCCCACAGAGTCAGGAGCGGCGACAGCATGTACAATGCCTCATGATTTGGGTGGAAGGATACTTGCTGATGGCAGGATGACCACTGCCTGGGCACCTAACAGCAAGGGCCAGGCCCGCCCGACACCCCTCCTGCCCTCTTGTTGTTGACTTTTGAATGAGGGGCTGTTTCCTCATTTTGTCCAACCCACTCCCAACTTCACCTCGAGCGAAGAAACATAATCATCTTTTGCTTTCCACTCTCCGATCCCCCCCTTTACTGCAGAACATACCGCTGCTAGCCCTGGTAAGTCTCATTCTTCTTGAGTCTTGCTCCCCGCAGTCCGCTTCCTGTCGGCCTTGATGACGAGCATGTCGTCGCGCCCATCCGCCCGATGAGGGGCAGATTTGGTCGTAATGCAAAGTCCACGAGCTAACGTTTTTTCTCCTCGTTCCCACCCGCAGATCTAAGCATCGTCATACTTCACCCCAAAACCACTACTTCGCAAATCTCATCAATATGTCTTCTGCCGAAGCTACCGAGCCCAAGGTCGAGGAGACCAAGCCCGTCGAGGTACGACCACCCCTTTGTCGCAACGCGCACTCGCTCCTTCGCCCTCGTCATGTTCCCACACGAAGATACTTCAAAGCTCACCGCATCTCACGGGTTCTTCGTGACGGGCGGGCGGGATGCGCACTCTCTGCTCGCTCGCATCGCGATCCAGTTCTCCATATTGCTACGTTCGGATGGCTGACAGTACCGTCCACAGACTACCGGCGAGGCTGAGAAGCCTGTGACCTCCTCCTCCGTTTTCTCCATGTTCGGAGGTGGTGCCAAGAAGGAGAAGAAGGAGGACGAGGACCGCGGTGACAACTCTGGCAGCGCAAAGGCCCAGCGCGATGCCGCAAAGAAGGACGGCGAGGTACGTCATATCGCACGCTCTGTTTCGATGCAGGGGTAAGTTGCGTGTTCGATCTTGTGCTAACGTTGGAAATTCAGGAGGATGAAGCCCCCGAGTCCGAAGATGTCCACTTCGAGCCCGTCATCAAGCTGACGGAGAAGGTCGACGTTGCCACCAACGAGGAGGCCGAGGAGCAGCTTTTCAAGATGCGCGCCAAGCTTTTCAAGTTCGTCAAGGAGACCACTGAGTGGAAGGAGCGCGGCACTGGTGATGTCCGCCTGCTCAAGCACAAGGAGAACGGCAAGACCCGTCTCGTCATGCGCCGTGACAAGACCCTCAAGGTCTGCGCCAACCACTACAGTACGTTGCGTCAGACTTCATTCCGCCACTAATATTCTAACGATGACTAGTCGTTCCCGAGATGAAGCTGTCCCCCAACGTCGGTTCCGACCGCAGCTGGGTGTGGAACGCCGCCGCCGATGTTAGCGAGGGTGAGGCTGAGGCCGTTACCCTGGCCATCCGCTTTGCCAACTCTGAAAGTAAGTCCATGGCCGGTATTAAAAAATAGTCGCATGGCAATGAGCTGACGGGGATACAGACGCAAACCTCTTCAAGGACTCTTTCCTGAAGGCCCAGAAGGACAACGAGGAGCTTTTCAAGGCCGCTGAGGGCGAGGCCCCCGCCGCCCCCGCTGCCGAAGAGTCTTAGATTTACCACAACCTCCCGATTCCGTGAGAAGATGAAGATGGAAGGCCCAGCACGCCGGGCTGTCATCAAAACGGCCCGACCCCCCCTGCAACAACACCGAAACTAGCACCATTGTCAAACTTGTTTTTACACCCCCCAATACGAGGCAGGCTGGATCACTTCGGTGAGGAGAAGCTGAAGAGTGCAAGAAAGACTTGCACCGAGTGGTGTTTGTTTTGAGCATTGATACGCAGATGGATAGCATCAAGGCTTAGGAGCAAGACACTCTACACAGCACAAATCAACAAGAATAAAGTCCCTTCTATATTGATTAGACGTTCCAGTAGGAGAGATAGACGCGCGGATGAATCATACCCCCTCACTTGAAAGCCGATTGTTTTTCTGTGAATTTGTTGCAAATGCGTGTATAAATCTGATGAGCGCTATCGCTATGGCCAACCTAACAGACGACATGCTGCTGATGAAGTAGGCCTCCTTAAGACTTTGTCTTCCACATTGTTACGTCGAGCAAACAAAAAGCATGTATAGGGGCAGGAGGGACAACCATTCAATTAAAGTCCTTGCTTCCTTCCCCGCAACACGCAACACGCTTGCACGCGGTAAGCTTTCCAGCCACACCCTGGGTGTCTGCATGGCCCGAGCGTCACCCTCAGCCTTCCAGTCCCAAACCTCCAAATCCCAACTGGTGAACTTCACACACTTGCTCAGTGCACATCCAGACCTCCCCCCTCTCCGAACTCGACACCCTGCTTGACCCCTATCCTGCGTTGATAAAGCAGCTCATCATGATTGTCGAGGTAAGATACTGCGATCAATCCTTCCTCTCCTACCAGCGCGCTTCGTCGCGTCGATTTGCGACATCACCACCACCAGCTCGCTCTACCCAAACGCCATGGTCGTTGACAGTTTGCGCTGTCGGCTAGCCCAACATGGTTGCTTCCTAGGCAGCCTGGACGATGAATAATGCGCATTCTTCACTCAAACGATCTGATCTTGGCATACCATACCCCCTTTCCCTCTTCCTTTTGCTCAACTTCAACGGGGATCAAGCTACACCGTAGTCCATCAACGTTACCACCGCCATGGCCCCTTCCCGACATACCATGGCCCGTCGTTCCAATGCTGACTTTGAGATCAAGAGGAAAGTAAGGCTCGTCACCGAGCAGAATGTCATGTAAGTTCGCTTGCAAACACCCCGTCTATCACAGCGCCAGCGCCTAACCTTTATCTCCTCATATCTAGCGACAAGCCGTCTCCCGTCGAGGATTTTCCCATGCGGAAATGGTCGATCAACGTCTACATTATCGGCGAGGATGGTGAGGAGCACCCGGCCGACTGCTTCCTCAAGGTCGTCTACAACCTCCATCCTTCCTTTGAGAACCCGACCCAAAGTTCGTATACTCTGCTTACGATTGCTACCTTGCCTATTGCAGATCGCTGACCGCAGGCTCTCCTAGCCTTCAACAAGCCTCCTTTCCGTTGTGAAAACGAGGGATGGGGTGAATTCGATATGACGATCGATTGCTACATTACCGAAAAGTCGAAGCAGTCCCTCAGCCACGACCTCAACTTCGCTAAGAACCGCTACGAGGCCGAGCATACCGTTTCCTTCAAGAACCCCTCGCAGGCCCTGCAGCAAATTTTGCGCGAAACCGGCCCGTTGCCATCAGACGATGACCGCCTCAAGAAGAAGGGTGGTGCTGGTAAGAAGGGTGCCCAGAAGTACGACTATGAAAAGATTGCCCAGGCGCTTGAGAAGCTGGATGAGGATGACCTGCTCCGCGTCATTCAGATCATCAACGATAACAAGACAGCGGAGACATACATCAAGAGTGATGTCGATGGTGAGCTTGCGCCTGCTTCCCCTGGTGTCGATCTCTTGGCCGGTCAGTTTTCCTTGTGTTGGGGGATGCATGGGATCGACATTGGTAATCACAAACACCGAGTTGCGCTTTAGCTAACAGCTTCTTCTAGCGGGAGAGTTTTCCATTGATCTGTATACGATGTCGGATCAGATGACCAAGCTCCTGTGGGACTACTTGGTGAGTCAAAAATACGTTCGGGTTTAGGTTCCGCAGGCCCTTGGGTTGAATATCTTTGAACCACAAGCACTGGCCTTTGCGCGCAACGTCTATGGGACTGCATGGGCATTGGAAGTGGGCTGGGCTGGGATATATATGACCGGCCGCTGACCTCACAAAAGAGCAAGAAGGGCCTTGTCAGTTAGGTAACCTACCTACCGCTCGCGGAAGATCACCTATCTCTGCACCACTCCCGACGCCAGCTTTCCCCGCGACCGAATCGAGCACGATCGGGCAGACGAATCGACATGAGGGATTCTCTTGTGAGGTGCGGCGCGGGGCATGGGGTGTGCTCAAGGCTTTCTGCTTCGCTTTACCAATGGCATCTGGCTAGGCGTTACCGGCTTCCTGCTTTTCCTTGGCTTTAGTTACGGATTTTCTTTTGGTCTGCCCCTCGTCTTTCTGTGGTATTGTGTGCTTGTGCGTATTGTGTCTTATTTTGTGTATGCTACCTGAATAAAAAGCACTCGCGGGGAAGGGAATTGGGACATCCTGCGTTCATGTGATGGGGGATTGTGCGTCTCTGGGGGATCGTAGGGCAGTATGGGCAGGAATGAAGCTACGAAACGACACTGGACGGGAGTGGCTAGACGGAGAGAGAGAGAGAGGCTAGAGGCTTTCGTTGCGAGGTTACACCGGCTCTGTGCCTCCTCGTTGTAATCATATTGTTCACCGTGCTTGTTTACCATGTCGACGTGACGTGGGTATGTGAGAGGAGACTGTGCACATCCCGAGCAACAATGTCTGACTAGAGGTGTGTATGAATCGCATCTTTGACATTTTTGGTATAACTACTATCACCCGCACTATAAATCGGAGGCTATCTTGCTAAATGAGCATCCGAGTTGAAGATGGCAAAGTATGATAAAAAAGGGTATATCTGAGACCATATTCTCATAAGCCGTGCTGATTTCGATGGAAAAGGTAATCCAGGTGCAATGCAACGGAGAACAGCCTTTGCCTTTAAATTTCATGGGTGTTGCTTGCGTAACCGCGTGACCTTGACCACTTTGTCGGGTCGTGTGTAATTGGTAAGAAATGAGAAAATCAAGAATATAATCGCTACATTAGCCAGCCGGTCCGTTATCTTTCTTTCGAGGCAGTTTCGTCGCCCGTTTCCCCTCATTTTGCAGTTTTCCCGCGCCCCGTTGCTCCCAATTTTGTGTATAAATGATAGTCACACCTTGCGGATGCCGTTTTATCTTGTTTTGTCTTCTTTAGATCCCCACCTTTTTGTTTTTTTGAAAGTGTGCTTTTTTGTTGAATTCTTCTTCGTTGCGTTTTGCTCCTGCCTGGTTCAGGGAAACGATGAAGGACCATCAAGAACGGGAAAGCCGGTGTCCATGGCCATGTACTCGAGGAGATCGAGACCGCCGACGTTGACACCCTCGGCCGTCATGGCGACAGCCGTGTTGTCCATATTTTGGAAAAATGCCGGCCCGGGCGGCAGGTACCACATCTCGTTGCCTGGGTTGTTCCAGTCAGTCGAGTCGAAGAGGCCTTCCATGCCTCCCGTTGTAGATGACGGTGCGTTGTTGGTCGTGTTTGTGGCTCCGCCGTTCTCGGGCGCTGGTGCCGGCGTGGACGGGCCCAGTACTGAGGCCGAGCCTGAGGGATAGGGAAAGGTCCCAGTGCTGAGGTCGAAGGGTGTAGCGGAAATGTTGGCAGGGTCATCTAATTCTTACTATTAGTTCCGTGATTACGGTAGGTGGTGGATGACCAAGGGGGGGTGACGCTTACCATGCGCGTTGAGCCCGTCACGTAACTTTGAGGCGTGGTTCGCCCATGATTGACCATCGGGACCGCCGATCGATTGGCCGTTGGCAGCGGTGCCGTTGGTAACCCCGTGGGGATCCGGGCTCCTTCCATCCGCAGACCCGAGTCCTAAAGCAGGAGCCTGAATGAAACGGTTGCGGAGCCGGCTTGTCAGGGAGTCGAGGAGATCTGCAAATCGAATTCCCAGGTGAACATCGTCAACAATGCAATTGCGGAGTGCCTTGACAGTCTCGTCCATCAGGTCAATGCTGAGCTTGACGTCTGATCGTGGGGCACCAAGAGCAAAGGTCTTGAGCAGGAACATGGCACCACTGATGATGCGGAAGTATGTCCGCACGGGGGCATGCTTGAGATAATCGCCCGGCAAGAGACCTTCCACAACCGTCCGAAGCAAGTTGCGACAGCCGCTGATGACCTCTTTGATGTACTCCTGATCACTGGCGCCGAAGCCACCCAGCTGTCCCAGAGGCAGCTTACCAAAGTAGTTTTGCGTCTGGGGGGACAGTTGTGCCGCGCTCCCGGCGTTATGGTTGCCATGGGTGCCGTGTCCCGCATGCGCCGTGTGACCAGCGTTATTGGTACACCGTTCAACGACAGCTTGCAGAGAGAGTGAGTTGACGTAGATACGTACATACTCATACTCGATGGTCAGAATGTGTCTGATATAAGGCGGTAACCTGAAGCGCTCAAATTCTTTCCACCAGTCCTGGAGCAGCGGATGGAAGTCTTTGAGCATCTCAGTGTACTTCCCGCTCTGGATGATATCGGTGGTGTGCTTGCGAGATTTGAAAAACTTTTCGTTGCCAATGTGCATCGCATTGCTTATACCAGCCCAGCAATGTATTATTTGATCATCGAGCTCCAGGTCCGGGATGTAGTTGAAGGCATTTGACATGGATGACGGGTTAGTGCCAGGTGTTGTGCCCTCTGTGGATGTTGGGCGGCGACGGGTTACCGCCGGATCGCTTTTGCGCAAAGCCTCAGGTACCATGCTTGTCCAACCAAGACGACCGGCGAGCTGGGACAGATAGATCAACAGAAGGCGCTTGATGCGGTACGCCCGTTGACGGTACACCTCTTCCTCGTACTCGGGGCGGGAGATGGCACCGTCGCGCAGCAGTTCATCGATGTCGTCAAACACACCAAGCTCGTATGCGAGACCCATGGCGGTGCTGAGAAGCATCCAGCACATTCTGTCACTTCTCCAGGCTGGTTCGAGCCAGCTGTCGAGTCTCTTCCCGCCGATATTAGCGGATGGTCGCTGATTGCCGTGCTCGTCTGTGCTGATCAGATCACTGCCTTCGTATGACGGAAGCATGAGCTCGTCAATGGCCTCAGCTGGCGGGAAATGGAGGGCTCTTGGGTGCCACTCTGTGAGAATCATCAGTGACTCAATGGTCCCCAGGGTTCGCAGACTGCCTTTTCGCATTCCACGCCAGGGCGCTGTGCTGCTTGTTTGATCGTCAGGAACAGATGAGGCACCGGCCATAGCTGCGACCCCACCCCCGAATGCCTCTTGACCCCACAGGCACCTCTCAATCATGCCCCGGAGATATGTCCAGAGCTGCTCATGGATGGCGTTGGACCGACATTGGCCACCTGTGCCGGGAATCTTGCGATACCTCGAGGAAATGGTGAGCAGTGTGATGGTGAGGATGGGCTCTTCCGTGAGCAAGGTGATGTGAGATGCAGGATTGCGGAAGGTCGGTGGAGAGATTGGTGTAAGTGGTGACAGGTATTCGTAGTAGCTAGGAAATGTTAGCCTATGATCATTAAAGATTGGCTAATTGCAGATAAGCTTACTAGTCAATGTAGTCAATGGCCTCCTGTGCGGAAAACCAGCCGGCTCTGACAAACCTAAACCTCCCCCAGGCCTTGATGGCGTCTTGGTAGCCGGGCTCACCGGAGAGATCACGTCTCGTCAGAGCCGGGTCAATGGGTTGCGGCTCAAGAGCGACGGGAACCGAGGGCCGTATATTGCCATTGCCCACGGGCTTCATGGTCGCGCCGGGCGTGACGATGACGGGCTGCTGTGGTATGGCGGGTATGGAAGCGACGCTTTCGTGACGCTTGTGGTTGTTGGTCACAGGGCTGTGAGCCGGGGGGTGGTAAGCAGCCGCGTCTTGGGTATGGCTGAGCTGGACTGACCTATCCGTAGCCGCCTTGTACAGCAGATCCAAAGCATCGTGGGGTCCGTAGACACCAGGTCGCATGAGGTCCTGGGCCTCGCGGTTCTCGAGCTGGGCGTTGGGCTCATCGTCGACGACGTAGTCGCTCCGCTGACGGCTGTCGGCCTGGCTCGTGGTGCTCGGGGTACCACCATCTGTAGGGCGGCGCAGAGGTTGGGTCCTGCCCATGGAGCCTCCTGGAGTCAAGGGCACCTCGCTGTAGAGGCGTTTGTCGATGGCGACGGGCGGGCTGCCGCTGACGTGAACGCGCTTACGGCCATTGCGGATTGTGTAGTCGTCGACATCCTCGGGCTCGGGATCCTCGCCGTCCTCGGCCTTGCGCTTCCTCCTTGTTGCGCTGAAGTAACATTCTTTGCTCTCGCGACGGCATCGTACGCAGGGGGGATCGTGGGGATTATCGACGCTGCCCAGATCGCAACGGACCTTTCTCCGACGGCACGGGATGCAGGCTTGATAAACGCGTTTGTGCTGGGGGGCGGAAGCCTGGCCAGCGGCGGCGGCGGCGGCAGCGTTTGCAGTCGCGGTAGCAGTGGAGGGATTGCCGGAGGTCGTCGGGCTCAGGTTGGATGCAGCCGTGTTGTGGTATTGGGCCATGATGGGCCGGCGAAGGGGGGCAGTCTCGCTGCAATCGTAGGGTGATGGATGGCTCTACTCGGTCGACGTTTCTTTGATGGATAGAATCGGTCAGGTCGGTTTGCAACGGGTTTATGGAGGGGAAAAAGACGGGTTTACAGCCACCACGGGCGGGGCGTGGGTGGTTTTTGTCGGTCCACGCTGGGTGCTGGGAGTCTGGGACCTCTGGGACCTTTGGGACAGCTGGGTGGTCCTTTTGGGGGTGGTGGTCAGTGCTTTTTTGTCCTCGCATCTTTTTTCGTTTTTTTGCAACGCTGCGGCTTGCAAGTTGCATTTGGGGCCATTGGGGTTGGTTGGCACTTGCCTCGAGGTGGGCTGGGGCAGGGAGCTTACCTTCCTCTGGTGTCCACCTGGTGCGGGGTTGGGGGACGTGGATAAGGTGAGAAGGAGCTCTTCTGCGTAAGGTACCTTTGTACACCTCACTTACTGTACTCACGTACTGTACTCACGTACTGTACCTAAGGCACTTCAGGTAGGCAGGTGCAACAGACCAACTGCAGATACGTACCCAAGTCTCTACGCAGTACGTGAGGCAAGTACCTCTCTTGGCTGGGCAAGGACGTTGCGCCTGCGTCCCTCACCAAACTGGAGGTCAAGCTGCGATTCCTTCGTCTGGATTTCTCAGAGACAATTCTCAGACACAGGGCGTATGGGTACTCGTGCGTTTTGCTCTGCTTCGCACTCGGCTCTGGCTTCTGACGGGTGCCAATGATTGCCAGAGAAGAGGTAGGGAGGTTATAGAATAGGTACCTTGGGTACTTGTTAGCCGTTGCTCTACCCAGACTTGTAAGTTGGCGAACCTCTTCGGTCAGACAAGGCCCCCGACCAGGCGTGCCAGGCAACCCGGGCAAGTCTTGGTCCAAATAGATCTCCAAAGCAGGAAAGAAAGAACGGGCAGCTTGTCCTCTCTTCCTTATCGACAACGGGGATTGGCTCAAGGTACCCTGGGTTGCGTATGTCTCGCGTTCCATCTATGATTGGCGCGATTGCTACCTGGGTTGCAAGTGCAATACGGGATGGAAATGGCGTTGGAGAAGAAAAAGAAAAAAAAGATTGTGTAACAATGGAAGGAACACACTATCGTCTGCGGAGACCATCATCAGAAGAATGTTTAGCATGTCACGAGATGGGATTAAGACGAAGGAATGAGAAGTGGGAAAATCTAGCAGTAGAATATAGAGATAATTTCTCATTCGCTCATGGCAATTCATTCGTCTGCCCTCATTTGAACAGCAAACACGAGACGGGCTGTCTCGTCCGTGACTTCGACCTCTGGTCGTTTGAATCGAGTACATAATAAACCCAAGCTAGCCATAAACTTTAGGTAAGAGAAAAAAAAGGAAGAAAAACACCCTATACTGTAGAAGTTAACCAACAGTTCCTGCCTTCCTGATTTTGCCTGGTGTCCCCTCCCCAGGTCCTCCAAGAAGGATACCCAAAAGGACCACCAAAGCGGGCGCAACAACGGTGCACCGCGCCAGAGACGCAGGCGAGAGAACAGCAAAAACATGGATCCTCGACCCTCGGCGCCTTCGGTGTACTTCGTACACACTGCAAAGCCAAGGTGAGGTCACCTGGGGACGCCGGCGATTCCTGTTGCGTGTCGCGTTTCCATTCCATCCATACGCAAGCACGAGGAAAAAATTTAGTCAACTTGCAACTTGTTGCATCCCGTGACCCCATCGTCCCACGCCGGAAGTCGAGACTTGTACCAGAAAAAGTCTGGGGAACCTACCCGAACCTGGGGTACCATTAATGTGATGGAAATTCAATGTCCAATGTCCTTCCCCATCCGAGGACCCGGACCAACCGGTAGCGAAGTAACGAGAAACCGCTTTACCATCCGGCTCAGCTTCCTACTCGATAATCCTTCTTTCTCCGTAAATCCCTGCAACCCAATCACATAAGAGTCAATACCATATACCTACAGACAGACTGTACGAATAGGTAGGCATGCCATCCCAGACAACCAGTTCGTCCTGCCTCACTGCAGGCCATGGACCGTCAACCTCCCGTACTCTCTTCGTCAGCCTACCTTCAAGCTGCCTTAGGTCACCGCCAACTCCAAACTCCAAACTTCCCCCAGCCTACGGAGTACCGCCGCCACCACTCGCGACAAAGCACACCCGCGTCCTCGTGGTCACGTTTCCCTCCCCTCCCCCCTCGAGGCGCAGCAAACCCAGGTCACGTTTTGCCCAACTCGCCTCTCACATTCGTCCAGCACATCCGAGCTCTCCTTCCTGCCCACAGAGAGTCCGTGGTTCATGCCCGTCATCTCCGTCCGTTCACCAACCCCCGTGATCGCGCACTACGTGACCGTTTGATCCTCTTCACCTTGTACTTCTTCACTTGCTTATCCGTAGTAAACCCGAAATTTCTGCCCATGCTATATAACTGAGATTCGCTGCCAAGAACCCCAAATCAACGAAGACCGGAAAAAAAGGGCCCCTCTTTCGGCCAAAGACTCCGGGAGAATGAAACTCTACGCAGGTACCACTCACAATACCTGTCATCAAGTGCCTAACTACAGCGTGGATTCCGTCCCTCTATCTCATCATCCCCGTCCACAAATTGGCTATGGCTCTGAGGTGGGCGGCGGGGACGGCGTATCCGTACGCGGGGTAGCTCAAGGCTGAAAAAAGCTGATGCGCGGAGAAGCTACTTGACTCAGGACCAGGACGGGGGAGGGGTGCTCTATATAACACATTAACGTTCTGCCTCGGAGCTCTGGCTCTAGTTATCTTAACCATCTAGGCGCGGGTTGTAGTTGTTTGCCCGTGTGTGTCATCAACCGTATTCCCAGCATTGTTTGCGTGCCCTGGATGCAAGTGGCTCACGCACATAATCTCGAACAACGTATTTGCTGAATTGAAACCTTCCAGGAAGAAATTTGACGAGGTCGTGCCGTCCACTTGGGTACACATGTGCAAGTCCATATGTTTCACAGATAGTCAGCAGACAAAATGAGAATCGCGAGTCAAAGCCATGTGATAGCTAGGTGTACATATAGCCTACGACAGGTGCCCCTTTTCATCAATGGGCCGCCTCATTGCCTTGTGCCAACTTGCACCCCCATTCTAGCACCAGCTTGCCAATAGTGAATTCTCCCATACAACATCTTGGAATGCCGGGTTGTGTATCAGCTGCCGTAACACCTCATGCTTCGGTCATGATTGCCCTTCAACAGATACCGAAGCCAATGCCCAAAATTCCACTGCAACGAGACTCCACGATTCAGTAATGCTCCTCTCAACCAATTCTAAGAACTCTTCTTGGGTGCTGCGGCATCAGTCTGTTCGACCTCAGCGGGAAGAATAGCCGGAGTCGTGTCAGGGGCAACCTCCGGGGGTTCGCCATCATCGATCGGTCCAGGCTCCTCTTCAAGGGTCCCATCCAGCGTTGTTGGCTTGAAGTCGCCATTATCAATTGACGCGGGGTCATGCCCACGTCCACTGTTGCTTGCCGAGACGCCAATGGCCGGGGCACCTCCCTCGGCAATCTTCTGCTTCGTCTCCCGAATGATCTTCTCGGACTCGCTGACCTTGGCTGGATTGGGCGGAGGTCGCTCAATTCCAATGGCGTTCTCCTTGTCGTTCTGGCTCTCTAACAAAGCTTCCTTGTCGAGACGAACAATCATGCAGGACAGGTTGTCCGTGCTGAAGCGGTTCAGCGCATGATCAACGAGGAGCTTCGATGCCTCAACCGGGTCCTCAATGTTGCGAACAAGGTCGACAGCCTCTTGATCGGAACAGACATCCCAAAGCTAGAATACAAATTAGCCATATTTCACTGCTTGAGTAGCACAGTACTTACACCATCGCAAGCAATAATCATAAACTCGTCACTCTCGGGCTGAATGACGGTCTCGGTAGTATACGGGTGCCCAGTGACAAGATCCTTCATATAGGTGTCGCCCAGAGCTCTCGTTACGGCCAGAACACCATTAACGCGGTTGTTGAGTATCAAACCGCCAGCGTTCGCTATCCGTTTTCCTTCATTCTCGTCGCTGCCCTTGTGGTCATACGAAAGACGAAGCGCTTTACCGCCACGGCAGAGTATAATACGGGCATCGCCAACATTAGCCGTGTAGAGAACGCGCTGGCGGCTTGCTGCACTCTTCAGTTTGGCATGGGTAGCCTCGGGACCACTTGATGCCGCCTTGTCGTCTGCGGTCTCTTCTGAAGTCAGCTTAGCAGCCTTCGTGGCTGCCGCAGTAGCTGGCGCAATAGCCTGAGAACCGGTTGCCGAGCGGTCACTCGGGACCCGTTCCTCCCAACGCAGCACGGCGACGGCAGCTGTGCATCCACTGTTCTTAAGAGGGAGCTTCTCCAACTGTGCGTCAACAGAAGTAAACGTTTGATCGAGGAGTTCGGGAATGGGGCCGTTGGGATTCTTTCGAATTATTTCCTCCAGTATGATATGAAGCTTCTTGCCACACCAGTCGGCAGCAAAGGTGCCAGCGTGACCATCAAAGATGGCAAAGTATCCATTGTCCGTTTCAACCATCTCTTGCGAGGAGGCATCCTTCTCGTCGGATACAGAGTCGCTCTTTTTACCATCAATGGCAGGGGCTGGGGTATGCAAAAAGTTGTAGAGGAAGGCATGGGTGTCCTCCATTGTACGGCGGCACTTTTTGTTCCTATCTTCCCAGACACCGACACGGAAAGTCGAACGCGGGCCGGGAACTGAATCGCCGGCTGAGTTGTTGTGCTGGCCCTGAGGCACAGCGAGAGCAGGATCCTGCTTGCCCAGCTTCTGGAGAGGGGTCTGCGAGCTCACATCCGAGTTGGATCGGCCGACCTGGGAAAAGTTCAGGGTGTTCTTGGCATGAGCCAGCAAGCCCGCGGCCTTACTTTGAACACCGCTGGCACGGCGCTTCTTATCCGCAGCGCCATCTTGCTGCCGTCCGGGGGGACTGCTGTTTCCACTCCGCTTGTCGCCGCTGGCGGCCTGGTCGTTTGACTTAAGGGAGGCTGAAGTGCCCTTGTCGGATTCGGGCGAAGGCGACTTGCGGTCCTCTTTTGGGTCGCTCTCCGCCTTAGACGCAGCCGAGTTAGAGCCGCCGCCGAACATTCTAGTCAGCAGACCACTCCCCTGGTTGGAGAGGCTGCGACGCTTGCTTCCTGCCAGTTTAAAGAACCTCGAAAAGACGTCAGAGGTACCGGTCCACACGCAGGGTCAATCGAGTTCGATGGGGTCGCAATGAAGCTGTCTTCGTTGGATGCGTTTTGGACGTCGGAGGAGGATTGTCGCGAAGATGGATGTCTGATAAAGGTATCGTCAGTATTAGGTGAAGAAGTTGGAGTGAACGGTCGTCGGGCCCATGGAGGGGCAGAATGGTCCGAGACCGACCGGGGGCTAGGCAGAGGGTCGGGTCCGAGCTGAGGAGGATTGACGCATAGGTAAGACGAAAGGAGCCAAGAGAGGAAGAGACGCTGGTCTCTGAGCGGCAGGCGGTATGGCGACCAAGTGCGCCAGCTAGTGGCTATGTGACTGACGTCTAATATCAAGATGGCGCAGGTAGGTATGTGCTCTGCGAGAGTCGTACCGCAACCAGATGGTCAAAAAGTGCTGCGCGCAGCCCGCAAAGAAAAGGGTTTGACGAAGATACGGGAACAAGCAGATATCAACAGCGGGATGTATGATGTTTGTGTGTCCAGTTGGCCTTGCGTGACAAGTGACGTAGGTTGGCTGAATGATGGTGGAGGGGAAAGCAGAAGGGTAGAAGCAGCAGTAACTCACCAGAGTGACGTACCCAGCGATTCGGAGTGCCGGGACGACGTGGTTGAAGCTGGATATTGATGGCAGAATAGAGACGCCGAGGGTGCAATTTGAAGATTGCCGGGTGTGATGGCAAAGGCTGCAATATCGTCTAGGAGGGGAGGGGATGGGAGGTTGTTGGTGTTGCGTGAACAAGGCAAAGTAATGATGGTAGGCGGCAGAGAGAAAGAGAGTTGAGGTTATGGAAAGGCGATGCGAAATGCTGCCCGCTTGGTGCTGGCTCGCTCGTTTTGGTCAGTGTCTCCGCAGCAGCCTGGGAGGGGGAGGGGAGGGGCACGGGGGGAGCAGAGGCCAGAGTTGGATCGTTTGGAGGGGACCAGGAAGGGGGGAAGGTGGAAAGCGAAAGCGGCGGGAACGATTCGCAGGGTCCCGTCCTTCCATTCTTAGCGGCGCTTACCTGCTCTCCGCTCTCCGTTATGGGGCCTTTCTTCCCTGGCCTGAGCTTCTCACTCTTGTTCTCACCACCCAAACCCCTATATAGATACCACAGCAGCTCAAGATAGTCTGATATTTAATGTTGTCTAGCACCTCGAATACTTATGGAGGGTGAGGCAGACGAGCAGCTAGGTAAGTTGACAGTCGCAGCGCTTAATATTGAAGAGTGAGAAATAGGTATAGAGTTGTGTGACCACACAGGAGACGCAAGTTGTGTACCTTTGCACCTCAGTGATGAACAACACCAACTTGGGGGGCGGCGAGCTCCACTCGGGCTGTAGTGTACACAGTAGTGTACTGCCGCCTGCGTTGTCAAGTCTCACTTGAGGCGGTGATGACCTGCGTCAGGTCGGGAGGTGAGGCGAGACGAAGCGAGGCGAGTTTCTGTGTGTGTGTCGTCCGACGGGAAACTGGATCTGAATCTGAACCCCCCCAGGCCAAGAAACAAAGAGCACGTCGGGAGTTTCGACTGTTCTTGTGAGATGTGTCTGATGTTTGGATAGTAGGTCCTTGGCTAAACTGACGGGCATATGCTTAGGAGTATCTGCAGGGACAGAGAGGGGATGAAATAGAGCAATATGAGAGCTCTAAGTTAGTCTCATGCGCCCTTCGAACAAGACTCTTCTCACTTATTCTAACTATCCATTCTTTCTAAGGTATCTCTATGCGAAGTGACGAGGGTGGTCTCGATCTCAAAGTGGACAACTGACCTCACTCAAACGCCCACCCAATGGAAATGCTAGGTCAAAATCGGCGTTTTTCTCGCCGATCACCAGCGCCAAAGTACCGAATCACATTGCGTTCTCGTCATCCTGCTAGGTAAGCACCCACGGCGTCATCTTTCAGACGTCTTTTAGAAGTAGCAAGATGGACGGGTATCTGGGTTCGCATGGTTGGGCGTACCATGTGACGCATTAACGAACAGCTTCAATCTGGGTTCCCAGTCATGCCGCACGCGAGGAACACATTGCCATTGCGTTCCTCAATGCGCATATGCCATGTCGGAGATATGATGGATAGTATTCAACAGAACCTATTACCTTACGCTGACGACCCTTGGCCGAAAGCCAGTATATGCGGTTAAGCTACTCTGTAACCCGACCAAATCTGGAATATGGTGATGGCCGCCCAAAGCGCAGGTTTTTGTGGCAAGAGGAAGTCGCCATCAGCCTTTGTTTTTTCCACAACAAACATGGACGACACACAATGATATTTCATGGCCTATCTCGACAACATGGACCAAGAGCGGATCTGCTTTTGCTGGTCACAACGTGTCGGCGTAACAGCTCAACCGGCATATAAACCCTGCCGATCATGCGGGGCGTGTAAGGGTACCTGCTTGAGCTATCGACCAAGTATCCGTCTATATCCTGCTACATGGAATTTAACAGGCACAAGCACACAAACAACCTGTTGTTCTGAGAAATCAGGGTCCGTTTGGGGGCCCATCTTGCTGGGTTGGGCTGGCCTGGAATCTGTAGATTACCTTGGAGATATCCGGTGGCCCACTTCTGCTTTCGCAACACTACCTACACTAACAGAATCGCTGACTCGGGTTATCAGTGCGGGACATGGCTTTCTGCGAGTGGTACATTCGTGTGATTGTTATGATGCAACGATTTGCCCGGATCCTTACCTTCGCCACAACAACCGACTCTCAGTTATCTTGCATGCTAAGTCCTCTGGATAAATCTATGTGCATCAGATGAATCGTGGAAGCAACACGCAAGCATGAATGATGACCATTTTCACCACACTGTAAGGGTCGGCACTGATTGCAGACGAGTTACGCAACGTTCCCATGCCACCTCCCAAACAGCATTTCACGGCTCGATCACGGCAAATCCCACTGAAGTAGACGTATTGCATGTTTAGAAGCCTTGCTTCAGAAAAAGTTCGCCTTCCCTTATCCTGGAACGCCGTTCCATATGTGACAAAACAAACTGGCTGCTCCGTTACCTCCCTCATACATCGCTGTCGTCCGCAAAAAATCGTCGTCACTCCACCAGCCCCTCCATTGCTGTGACTACCGTCGAAGACTGTCGAGGCGGGCCTGAAGGTCGTCGTCGCCGGGGTCCGCACCTCCGCCTCCACCTCCTCCAACTGCTTGGGCAATTCTACCTTCGGGTACGGCTGCAGTTTGCATCCCGGACGGTGTTTCGCCCAGCTGCATAGCCCATCATTAGCTGGTGAATCGCCAATGTCTGGATGGGAGTACTTACCGCTGATGTCAAGTCAACTCCAATCTCTTCCAGGACTTGCTCGACAACTTCCTCGCCTTCCTCCTCGGCACCAACATCCATGGCATCATCCATAACGTCATCCATCATCTCTTGTCTCTGGTCCATAATGTCGTTCTCGCGCTCAAACTCCATTGCGATGCGCTGAAGAGCGGGGAGGTTCATCGACCGGTTCATGGTGCCGAGAGCTTGGGTCGCGCCCTTCATGGCCGTCATCATTTGTTCGTTGGTGCGGTATGTCTGTGAGATGAAGTGTCAGCTAAAGTTTACGAGCCACACTGACCGGTTATGTATTACCTGAAGCCGGAGAGAGATCTTTTGCAGTTGACTGCGCATGCCGTAGAACTTCTCAATGTACCTGCAACAACAGTTAGCCAGGTTGTCCGTCGTATACCCATGGGCTTTGTGACTCCTTGCCTTCTTGTCCGGACCAAATCCTTAGCCTGGATCTTGCAGGCGCCCATCTGTCCCTTCTGAGCACTTTGCTTGATCTGGGTAATCAACTGCTTCTCCTGCTTCTCCAACTTGGTTCGGACCTGGTCCAATTCTCGAATCGCCTTATCAAGCATGCGCTGGTTCTTGCGCAGACGCTCCGCTGGCGTCATTCGCTTGCCGAACGCCCATTCCAGAATCTAGGCCACAGGGTTAGTAGTCGGTCGAGGCGTGGCGGGGAAAGGTGCGCGCAGCATACGTTCATCGTGGCGGCTGGGAACAATCGTTTCGGAGCGGATGAAGCGTCGTGTATCGGAATGGCAACAGGGGGGCACTCGAGAGATCGATGGTAGCGATTGTGTAGCTATCGTGGAGAGGAGTTGATAGTGGAGGTTGATTGATATTCGGGTTGCCTGGCACTCACGTAACAGGCAAGGGTACGTACAACAGCTTGGCACAGCGTCAGGTAACTTCCAAGGAAACCACAGGTGAGTGGTGGGTGAGTGCTGCTCAGACCGGTTGCGCTGACCCGCTGGAAGGTCCGACCAGGTTCCAACTTCCCACCTTGGGGGGGAATGATTAGATAAGGAATGGAAGCGTGGCAGCCCGGCCTCGGATGACGGCGGCATTTTCCGACTAGAAGTTTTGGGCCAATGAGTGAAGCGCCGCGACAAAGGGTGGTGGGAAATTTGCCGCTCCGCCCAAAATCATGCGCTGGGAGTTCCATTCATGTACGGAGTACGGAGTACATGACGAGCTTCCCTAAAAAACATTCTCGACCTGCTACGCTAAAACTTCGTCGCCTCCCGAACAAATCCCCTTTCTTCCCGTCCTCTAACCCACCTGATTGTTTCTCGACCATGCTGCTTCAACCCTCGACCGACAAAAAATGAGCCAAGATTATTTTTCAAAGAAGGGCAAGGCCCCCATGGACCAAGAGATTGAGAAGGACGACAACGACGCGCCTTACCAACCAGTGCCGTCATCGAGCAGGCCACCGCAATTCATGACCGTTGGTTCCGGCTCCACCTCTGCACATGCAGCGCATCTCCAGTCACTACTCGAAAACGATTCTGGCTACGGCGGCAGCATCGCGGACGGCGACGCCATGACTTCCTCCGGCGACCGACATATCCCGACTCCTGTCAATGGCCAGCTCTCCGAAGCTGACCGGCGCAGTCAGGCCGGTGCTATCCACCAACTGTGGTACAATGCCCACAGAGTGACGTTGGGTCGCTCTATCAACAAGGTCATTGAGCTCCTCAAGGAGTTGCAAGAGATGAACGTGTCCTGGCCAGCTCACTATCCATCTGTCCAGCGAGCCGAGGGAGCACGCCCTGCCCCTTCACACTCATATTCGACCATCGGCGAAGCCCCCGCGCCGACATCCGCCTCGTCCGTTCCGTCTTCTCCGACCGCTCCTCCATCCTTACGACGATCCTTTACATCGCTAGAAGCGCGCGAGAGTGCCGAGTCGAGCCGTGCGCAGGAAAGACGGACGCCAGAAGAGCCACGACTCGTCACACCTCAAATCGCCCAGGACTTCTCGGTCCTCAAACTGGATCTCAAGCTGGGCTCGCTTCACCAGGCAGAGCTTGTCCACTCTTTGGAGAAGGGGTCCATCGCCTCCCTTTTGGATGGCAAGATCAGTTCCAGCGTTCGACACCTGCTCAACCTCCGCGAACGGATCGAAGATACTTCCAGCAAAGTCTTGATCACTGGTGATCTGAATGCCGGCAAATCGACCTTCTGCAATGCTCTGCTTCGAAGAAAGGTCCTTCCCGAGGATCAACAACCCTGCACGGCAATCTTTTGCGAGGTTTTGGATGCAAGGGAGAATGGAGGCCTCGAGGAGGTGCATGCCGTTCACAAGGACGCCGACTATGACCGCCATAACGAGACCACATACGACGTTTACAAGCTGGCGCAGCTCGAGGAGCTCGTAGTAGACAACGAGAAATACACCCAATGCAAGGTCTACGTCAAGGATGTACGAACTATTGACGAGTCTCTGCTCAACAATGGTGTGGTTGATATCGCTTTGATCGATGCCCCGGGTCTCAACTCTGATACAACCAAAACGACGGCCGTCTTCGCCCGACAGGAGGAGATCGATGTCGTTGTCTTCGTGGTATCGGCTGCCAACCATTTCACTATGACGGCCAAGGAGTTCATCTGGGCAGCTGCTGCAGAGAAGGCTTACTTGTTCATTGTGGTGAACGGTTATGACAACATCAGAGACAAGAACAGGTGTCAGAAGATGATCCTCGACCAGGTCCACGGACTGAGCCCGAGAACGCACAAGGAATCAAATGAGCTGGTTCACTTCGTCTCGAGTAATGCCGTTCCTA